TGATACAGGGGTCCTCAAACTTTTAAAGTAGGGGGCCAGTTCACTTTCCCTCAGATTGTTGGAGGCTGTTGGAGAGTGCAGCACACGTCCCACACATGAGCACTGTGGGCCCGGGACCAGACAGCTGGACAGGCAGCAGCGGCAAAAACACTCTGCAGTCCGGATAAATATCCTTGGTGGACCACATGTGGCCTGCAGGCTGTAGTCTGAGGACCCCTGCTTGATAAGTATGGTCATATTTTCCTTAGATATTGTGATTAGAGCATGTAGTACAATAGTTGCTCAATAAATGGCAGATAGATTATTTATAACTTCAACTAGTATTTGTAACTTTTCTGCCCATTTTTAAATGTTTGGGATGTCCTATTTCTTTTTTATTTGAGTTTCTTTAAACTTAGTTCCAATCTTTCTAACTCATGTAATCTTGGGACCATAGCTCCTACATTACTGAGAAGTGACAGGCCATCAATCATTCAGTAGTGTTTGAGACTCTACTATGTGCCAGCAACTGTTTTTCGGCAATGCATGTATAATGTTGAGTCAGACAGACCAAGTCTCCACCTTGATGGAGCTTATAGTCTATTCTGTGCAATGTAGTTCCTTAACTTCTGTTAAGGATTTGCACTTCAAAATCTTTGATTTATCTTTACTTTCCTTGTCTGCTTCAGTCCTGTCTCAAAAAAGACTGCCCTTATTTTTTCTAAGATTAATCTAAATTCTCTTAACTAGCTCTCCTGGAATTTTGCTTCAGTAACAATCTCTTAATTGTGTGTCTTCAGTCTCTATCTCTAGTGGATCATTTTTTGCTTTGCACAAAATTTTCTTCCATTTTCTAAGAAAGAAAAACACAAACAAACCTTCATGTGAATTTGCTTCTAGTGTATTCTTTCCTTCCTTCTGTTTTCCTTGTTTTTCAATTGGCTTTCACATCCACAAGTCAATTTATATAGCTGTCTCTTAAACATGTCTATGACCTTGTCTTAGCTATTATTTTTCTTCAATCTGAAGCACTAATTCTGAAAATATGTCTTCTATGATGTTACTTACCAGTTTGTCTTCTGTTTTTTATAACTATTTGTCATCCTTTGTTCTTAATTTTATTTCTTCATTGATTTCAGTAGATACTTGTTGAGTGCCTATTATGAGCACTCAAGTGTGAGTCATACAAAATTTGTAGAGACATTCTAAGATTTTGTTTTCTATTTCTTTCACTAAAACCTTAGCACTTTTCTCTAGGCAATCTTATCCACTCCAAATCCCAGTTTATATTTTCAATTATAATCGTCCACTGAATTTCATTCCTATGGTTGCATTTGCCCTCTGCACCTCAGGTTCTCTACCTGTTCCTAAAACTCCATATTTACAAACAGATGTTATCATACTCGTCTATTCAGCACTTTCTTCTGAAGTCTATATATTTGTTGATGTTATTTTTCACTCACTCAGGCTTTAAAAGTCTGACTTATCTTTGCGCTATTCCTTAAATCTATCTGTAGCTTTTATCCTCATTGGTATCATTTGTTTATGGGTTATTTTACTTCTTCACCTGAGTATGACAGCTAAGTTCTGTCTTTTTAAAAAACACTTTTTACAAATTCCTTAGTCCTGGTATTCCAACTTCTCTAAAATCTGCCACAATCTTATATTCATCTAATCTTTCATTGTCTGTTTTATGCCCTGTGTCCTTCCATATCATCCTCCCTACTTGTGATTTTCACTTTAACACCTGCCTGATGGTGCAAAGACCATTCCTGCCATACCATGAAAATATTTTCTGTTTATCTTTGCTCATGGAACCCTATCCATCCTTCAAGGTCCAACACAAATACCATTTCTTTAGATTCTCTTTATCTTTCATACCTTTAGAAATAAACTCTCCCTCTTCTAGAACACAGTATTGCTTTATATCTCATCTGACTTATGAAGTTTTGAAGTTCTTGAAGAGAGGGACTTGTAATGTTTCTATTTATAATCTACAGTATACTGAACATACCACTTTATTCAATAAGCCTCTATTAAAGAAATAAAATGAGTTGAGAAGATCTCCCTCTCTTAAAAGTGATTACTTATCGCTGAAGTACACCAGTGAAGTAATAAAGTGTACATCCTGGCTGAATAGTTACTCTTCAAGAATTCAAAGTAATTGCTGTATGTGCAGATAATCTCTATTTCACTCTCATCCATTTATTACATAAGGGAGAACCTCCTCCGAGCCAAGCACAGAAAGAGGGTGATACTAAGTCATAAGGAAACAGTTTTCCCTCTAGAGATGTTTATTATCTCTGAGACTGATATTCCAAATATAAAAAATACTAAATGATGAATGGGTTTATAAGCATACTTTTGTGGAATATTTTTATAAAATCTTAGAAAAAAATCAGTTAAGTATCCTAGTATATCCCTGAACCTTAGTTTACCAGACAGCAATAAGTTTTCGTAATCTAGTCTCAAAATTTTAAAAAACCTTGCAGAAATAGTATATTTACTTCCCATAAAGCTGCACAGGCATCCTAAATGGCCAGTTATTTTGATTGGGGCTGAAATTTTAAATCACAAATGGATATAAGTTATAATATTGTAAGAAATGCTTGCTTGATGAACAAATGTTTTAAAGACATAGTGATAGGAGATAGAGTGTTTTCTTAAAAAAAAATCTTATAATGACCTGTGCCTATGTTAAGAGTTGTGATCTTTGTTATAATCCATACATAGTAGATGCTCAGTATATGTTGGTTAAATGATGACAGTTGGAGAGCCCATCTGTCTATGAAGTTCTATAAAATAAAGATTTTTAAAATCTAGATTTGAAAAGAAAAGGCTAGTTAAATATAGAAGAGTGCATGCTACTCCAGAGAACATTAAAATGTCAACTGGGTAACATAGACATATTTTCTAAACATTAATTGAGTTATACAACATAATAATAATCAGGAATTAAGTGATATTATATAATTTTTGAGTATGCATTTTATTTCTGGGTTTTATTTCTCTTTTGAGGGGTTTTATTCCTTATTAACCCTCTGTTCCAGCTTGACCCAGACAAGAAAACTGACATTTTTTATGATTAGAAAGATTCTTGTGTCATTAGATCATGCTAAATTGATAGTTTTTATAGCCTGACAACAGACCAAGTCATCATTACCTGGAGGGAAACACTTAAATCATCCAAAGATGACTATTCTGTTCTGAAGGAGAGTTTGAGTTGACTGCTTGAGATTTTCAGTCTCACTCCCCAGGTGGCAAGGGTTAGTTTTGCTAAAAAAAACTGACAGTTTCCACCCTCTGGGTGGTAGATTGGATTGGAAATATATAGAAAGAGAGCTTGTCAAGGAAATTCAAGGAGCAAAGCTGATATGTTCAAAAGGGAATTCTAAACTAGTCCCCAGATTGAATCATAAATGCTTCTGTTTTATGGACATAAACAAGTGTATAGAAGATAAAGAGGAAGAAGCAAAAGAAAGAGCAAAGAGTAGAAGGTGTGAGAGGAAAATATGTCAGAGGAGGCATAAAACTCTATGGTTTTCTGACCTACGTTTTTTGAGATGAAAATAAAATACCAAGTGGAGGAGTAGTTTTGATGGTGATTGAAGTTTTTTGAGATACTTCTTTAATGGTGATTCATGGAACCTGAATATTATATTGCGTTAAAGTCACAGAATTATAGGAAACAATTCTAGTAACAAACTATGGAAATTCATTGTTTTGTTTTTGAACTGACTGCAGCAGTCCAGTTCCAGACTGAATGAGTCTATATGTGATTCTTATGATTCTCTTGCAAAAGGAGACATCTTGTGAAGAAAGAAAAAATGAGCTATTGCACTGTGTATATTTGTAACAACTATGAAATGGGATATGTGGTAATAAAAGAGCTCACTCAACTCAAAGCAAGCTGTCATTTATATTTAAACATTTGCCACTTACAATCCACTGCCCCATAGTTAAAGCAGTTTGGTGTGGATTGAAATATCTTCTGGAAGGCTTATTCATATTTTACATACAGATTTTACATACAGATTTGTGATTATCCAGACTTAACCACCATTACTTGGAATGTTTCATATGGATTACATGCCTGCCTTTTGTCATTGATATTGTTCTTTAATATTATAATAATAGTTCTTATGATGAAATAGACTCCTTAAATTAATATTTTCTTCTAATACTCCAAATATCTATATTGATCACATATATTTTATTTGTATACGGATATATATGGCTAAGTCCAACTTTCTAAAAGGAAATGGACAAAAATAAAAATATTTAGCCAATTTGAAATAATGCTGATAGCTAACACTCCTATAGTGCTTACTATTTTTCAGACCCAGTTCAAACTGCTTTGCCTATATTAATTAGAAACAGATTAAATAGAACTATTATTACCTATAGTTTACAAGAAAGAAAAGTTAGGAACAGAGAGGTTAAATAATTTTTCTGAGTAAACACGGTAAGTAAGAGAGCCAAGATTTGAACCCAATCAGTTCGACTGTTTGGTACTCTCTACTCTCCACTTCTACAACTGAACTATTCTTGGTTACACCAGAGATACAGTAAGTACCTCAAAGTACTTACTTTGTAGGAAAGTAAATGTTACTTCAAAGTTATATTTTAATATGATCATTTATTAACATGGGTATCCTTTCCTGACCAGATTATGAGCTTATAAATACAAGATCCATGTTTTCTTAACTTTGTCATAGACAGTGCTCCATAAAATGTCAATTCCTCCTAATTTATAGCATATCATTGCCCTGAGACATTCTGTCCAGGGGACTTCCATTTTGCAATTGTAGGTTGTACATCCATAAAAGTTTTAAATCCTCAAAACAACAAAAAAAGCAATTGTTATCTGTAAGTGGAATATTGTTTTCATGATCCTCTTGTTTCTTAACTATTTTTAAAAATATGGTACTATAAATGAAACAGATTATTTTTGATTGCTATAGAATAGTTTTAGAATCATAATACTTAGCTGAAATTCTTTTTCATACTCTTTTCTATAGGGCGCTGCTTTAATTAGGATGCTGGCTAATTTTATGGGCCATTCAGTTTTTCAGAGCGGTTTACAAGTAAGTAAAATATTTTTTTATCTTCTTTTACATTTATCCTTGTCAGTATATTTATTCTAAGGGTGTCACATGGTTTGGTAAATTGCTAATACAAAATTGCTACGTTTGATAGAAAACTTTAGGGTGGGGAAGGTAAACAACATCTTTCCTTATGACAAATGAAAGCTGTAGATAGAATATTCCCTATATTACATGACAAAACTTCAACTGTTGTACAATTTAGAATCTGTTTAATTTTCATTTTGAAATTGAAGTAATTTTCAAATATTTCAAATCCTAAATAATCTACATAAGGTTTTCAGAAAACCTGCCTTCCTTTGCCATTTCAAAGTTTATATAAGGTGAAAACAAATTATGTTAGCCTTTCTAGAATTATGAATTTGAGAAAATCTTAGTTATTTTTCAGATATATATCTTTTATGTTGTTTTATGTTGATACATATAGATTGTTATTTATTTCAATGGTATTTATATGTTTTTATTTTAATTAGTAAATGCAATTTTTTTTGAAAAAGGAAGAAAAAGCAACAGTTTTATCATATTGCATTTAGAGTATGAAGTATGGAATCTAAAAATGGATTCTTAGAAAAGGAAAATTATTAAACTCTTTAAAGCAGACACAAATATAGAAAATAAACTTTTATTCCATTGAATCTGCTGAAGTAAATCATGTTCCTAGTAGCTGTGATTGATGAATTATTTATGATGCATTCTGCTACTTAGAAGTGTCCTTTAAAGTAAATTGATGTTCACCTGAAATACAATTATGCTAAGACAGAGAGAGCAATCAATCTTATCTGTTCTTAGTAAGCTTTTCATTTTGAAATTTAAATAAACTACATCTGGGATCAGGTCATATTTTAGTAGTATAATTCCATCTTTACCCCAAATAAACTGAAAGATAAAATATAAGAAAAGAGTTAAATATGTTATGACAAACTATATGTATATATATTTAATGCAACAAGGAAAACTATATAAATTTCTCAAAGAATAATTTCCCTCAGAAAATATTTTTACAGATTTGTTGCAGCAGGGGTTGGAATTTACTTTAATCAGCTCTTTCCATTAGGGACACCTTCAGAATAGCTGAATCCATTGAACATGTTTGCCGGGTGCTAAAGGCTCTATTCTGATCACATAGTTGGGAAAATCTTTTTTTCTCAAGAAGTGCCCTCCATGAATATCAACTATCTGGAGGAATGTCCTTCCTTATCCCCATTCCTTTGTTTTCCACATTGAAGTTTTAGCATGACAGTTTCAGAAAATATCTAAGCACTCATAAGCGCAACACAAATTGAATTTGATTTCCTTGTAGCAACTTGATGTGAAATCATTTTCTTTATAAAATTATTGTTTTTCTTCATCTGTGTGTATGCATTTGCTCGGCAGACTGAATAACTATAGTTATATTATTTGTAAAGGATTATTATTTTGCATCATTTTTCTTTATCCTGCCATACATTCTATGGTGTGCAAAATATATCCGTTTTTAATACATTGTTTTCCACTGACCTAGTCTGTTCAGTTTTATCTAAAACAGTTTGAATATACCCTCAGATTCCCATTATATTAAACTTTCATTAGAAACTTATATTAATATGTGTCTTTAGGCTCTGATACTTGATTTGGTTAATTTTCAACTGAGGGACTCTATGTTTGTCAACATTGCATTTCATTTGCTTGTGACATCTCATTGATCAGATAGATCTGTATCCTTCAGTACTTCGCTTGCAGCTTTATTTATACTCATCACTCAAACTGATTTAGTGTATCATCAGCAGTTTGAATTAGTTTACAGTAGATCCCTATGTCTAGGTGATAAATTATCATCTCTTGTGCATGAAGATGTATGGGATACATTTTGGAGATGACCTCCTGAACAGACACTTCATGTCATGGTACTGAGTGGTCACAGGGTTGAAATTAATATGCTTCCCATCCACAAGACTCTGGGGAGACTTGGTTTTCAAGTTGTTGAAAGAGCTAATCTGGACTGTCAGCACTTACCTCTGCTGGAAAATCTATGAATTGTTTTTATATTAACCCTGGCTATTTCTGTGTTGACAAATGGAAGTTTATTATTTGCAAACACAGACAAAGATTTATAGATATAGGCAATTACAAATTACAAATAGTATACTTTTCATATATATTTTTATGCCTCATGTTTTTGGAAGAAAGGAAGAACACTCCTTTCTTCCCTCTTATTCTCTCTTTCCTTTCTTTTGTTTTGTCCTGGGCTCAGACCTTAGTCTTCATGTTCCAAATAATGTCATTATGATGGTTTCTTCTTGATTTATTGTCTACCTAAAATTTGTGGTGTCTTGCAATTTTGTGTATCCTTATGACCTAACTTAAGCTCTTCTGGGAACAAGGCAAACGTTTTTTATAAATATATGCACACACACACA